TCATCTCCTTGCTAGGGCAAGATCTTATTTCATATCAAATAATACAGTTCCTTTAAAAACTTACTTTGAATTAGTCAATAATGCAGAATTCCAAGGTATAATCAGGATTGGATCACAAGTCAGTCACAAAGTGAATCACTGTATCTAACATCTCCCAGATCATTTTCTACATTAATCCATGAATATTCATCTCTTTTATTGTCCCTCTCTAGACATTAGGTTTTAAAATGAAGTTGAGCTCACGTTTGCATTTGCACATTGTAGTATGAGGTGTACAGTTTGGCTAAGAGGCAATTTTTCTAACCATTTACTGCCCTGGGAAATTGAGTTTACACATATTTATATACCAATGCCCAGTCATTTTACACTGAGTAATCCATACCTGGACATTTACCTGGTGAATGTCTCATGAAATCAATTTTCCCCATTAGCTGTATTCCTGGCAATCCAACCCAAACTAGAAGGCTCCTTTGCAGAATATGAAGACAGAGGCTAAGGCAGGTAGCATCTAATAGGATCTCAAAATCAGAGCTATTCCGGAGAAACCCAAGAGAGAAATTGCCTTTGGCGTTCATGAAGGGGGAACATGGCACATTTCTGTCAATGGCCTTGGAGCTTTTCTATCACGGAGCCCATGAGGATCTTAACTGAGAAGCTGTGACAATTAAAACAAGGCTCAGGATGTGGCTTCCTTGATGCAGATGACTATAGTCCCTTGGGTGCAGTCTGAGACAGGCCTGGCACTCAGTTCTGCTTCACAGCAGGCTGTGCAGTAGTGAAGCCCACTGCCCCACCCCACTGGTAATTAATTCTCCTGCTCTTGATGGCAGCATATGTAACAGTGCACATCCCGTTGCACAAATCCAGCAAACATTATCGGGTCCCTGTTCTGCATCAGGCAGTGTGAGGCCCTGAGAGCATTAAGCGAATTATTCGCAGTTCTTATCCCTTGAGAGTGTTTAGTTCAATCTGAGTTTCACGGAAACCTTCCTGGGCCAACTAATGCCTGCAGTGAGTCCTAAAAAAGAAGAAAGAGGAACTTTCCCTAAAGACACCTAGGAAAGGGCAGAGTCTGGAGAAGCTCCATCTCTAAAGGAAGGGAAAGACAGGCAGACCTGTGTGAGCAGAGCATGGGGCGGGGGGCACATTTTTTCTGTAAAGGGCCCAATAGTAAATATTTTGGGTTTTGTAGCCCCATAGCACTCAACTCTGTTGCTGTAGAATGAAAGCAGCCCTATGTGGTTCGGTGTGGCAGTGTTCCAATAAAACTTTATTTTCAAACCAGGAGGCTGGTGATATTTACCCCAGGGGCCATAGTGCGCCAGTCCCCAGGGAAGAGCATCAGTTGCATGCAGGGCAGAGCAAGCATGGTGAGTTTAAAGTCAGGGGCTTCTTAGGGCAGGATTCCTTTACCAGGACAAATAGGTTGGATTTGTGGGAAGTGAGAAGCCAGTAAGGAACGAGCTGCCCATATGAAGCCAAAGGCTAAACGCTCTTAGTATCTGGAACTTAGGAAGGAGAACTCATGCCAAGCAAAGACATTGGCCATATCCTCTTCGCTCAGAAGGCCCCAGAGTCCTTCCAAGGCCTTGGCCTTCACTACTGGCACCGTGGGAATTTCCAAGCTCAGCCGGGCTCTCTCCTGCATGTGACTGTAAGCACCAGTCTCTCCACAGGCCTTTGGAGACAAGGGTATAATGATATTTTTTTTGTTTGTTCAAGAGCAGGGGAAGGGGCACAGGGGTTCTAGAAAGTACCAGGGATCTAGACAGTCCCAGAATACATGCCTTTTCTTCACTGGCATAGAGATTGGGGAAATAGCAAGGGTTTATGCAAATGTGTTTTCCATTCCACTTCCATTTCCTGTCTCTATTTGCAGAACTCCCACTCCAACCATATTTGCTATGAACCCAACTGAGAATACTTTAGCTTGTTCCTTTCATTGTATGACAGTTTGGCTGGCCCCCTGCCACATGTTCAGAATGTACCCTAAGTGGAATAGTATCTGCACACTTCCTGTGGCTCTGGGTGGGAGCCGGGAAAATGCAGGGTCATTAACCCCCGGACGAGGACTGCAAGGTTAGGTCCAGCGAGGCAGAGGAGAGGTGAATGAATTCTTCTGGTGACTGACTCCTCTTTCTACAATATAAACTCTTACAGGTAGAGGGAGGGGAAAGGGGAAACCAAGGCTAGCCCGGAGGCTTTACCTGCTTTCTCATTCCACTGTGGGAAGAGGTTGGGCAGTGCCTCTGTTTTCTGATGAGGAAGCTGGGCCTTCGAGATGGCTCAGCTGGGCTTCACTAGGTCGGCCTGATTATCTTTTCAGTGTTTTTGCTTTTACAAATTAAAAGTTATTAAATGACTTTATATTTATGAGTATCATGAAGATTGAGATAATATCTAAAGTTTATTGGCATGCAGTTTCCACAGTCTTACTAGAAGTCAGCACTGATCCATAGCTTCCCAGGGATCATGAGAATTCAAAGGTTATCTAAGCTAAGCATTAGTGTGGAGTGACTGGGGCCTTGCCCAAGCCGGTGGGTATGTAATGGTGAACTCCTCTACTATTGGCCATGTTCAGTGGTGATATGGAAGCAGACCAAACTATTTTGGGGTTTGAAAACTAGAAATATAGCTGGTAAAGACGCCAATTAAAAATGATCCTCTGCACTGCAGAAGATGGTAGAAGTTTTTTGCACATCGTGCTTGTAAGTATCTTTGACTACTTCAAAGCTTGAGATGACTGGGAAGCTAATAATTGACTTGAAATCTCTGTGCAGTTTCTCAGGGCGTTACCTAAGAAATATTAGCTCTGCGGTTATAAAAAAACTATTATGGATACCTACCTACCATACAGTCATTAACCTCTAGAGGTAAGAAATGCAGACTCCAAGGTGAATTTTGCCTTTGACTGAAGCTCAAATCTTTGGGTCAGTAGAAGCAGGAGCCTGAGTATAATTGTGAAAGAAAACCCTGAAGTACATGGGCATCCACAAAGAAGACTAAAGAAGTATTTCACAGGATAGGACTTAGATCTTGAATTTATACCACTGAAAGAGGGACACTCTCCCCCAAGACATGGAGGAGATGTTCATAGATAGTTCCTTAAGATAAGCATTTCTGGGGCGCCTGGGTGGCTCAGTCGGTTCAGCATCCGACTCTCGAATTTAGCTCAGGTCACAATCTCATGGTCTCACAGTCTTCCTCTCAAAAACAAAAAAAAAAATACACTTCCTCAAATGTCAAGGCAACTCTGACCCCTGTAAATTATTTGGGGGAAAAAATGCAATTAGATTCAACAATTTGGAAATGAAGACTGGGATAGGTTTATAAATTTTAACACAGTCCTATGCATCAGCTCTAAGTCAAGTCCATGTTAATACTACTTAAATCTTTAAAGTATTAATCCTCTTTTTTTTTAAGTGTATTTATTTATTTTGAAAGAGACAGAGCACAAGTGAGGGAGGTGCAGAGAGAGAGGGAAGAGGTGGGGGCAGAATCCCAAGTAGGCTCTGTGCTGTCAGCATGGATTCTCATACAGGCAGGACTTGAACTCACGAAACCATGAGATCATGACCTGAGCCAAAATCAAGAGTTGGACACTTAACTGACTAAGCCACCCAGGCGCCCCGCGTATTAATCATCTTTTGAATTCAATGGGATTGTTAGCTCTGGAAATACTTAGTCACCAAACGAAAAATACTTAACGGCAAATTCCAAATATGAGGTCACTTGTTAACCTACTTTTAATCTTAACAATTGCAACTGATGAAAGGATAAGGTCGATGTTAAATGTAAGTGATCAACAGAAAAACTGGACATTCTGCTAAACTTCAGACGGCCCTCTCTTGCCTTAGCTTTAGGGGCTCAGAATACTTAGGGGCTCAGAATACTTAGGGGCTCATACAGGTATGAAAAGCGTGGAAGAGTGTCCTCGTCGGTGTTCTCAGCAGCGTGGGCTGTCCCACGTCCAGGTCTGTCCTCTGTCACAACCCAGAGAGCTTTACAGCTCTACCCAGAAGCCGTGGGTGGGACTGTGCCCTCTGGCCCAGCCCTTGCTGGATGCTCAGACTTGGGCACCCACCCTACTTCCATTTTGTGATAGTAATTTTAGAGATGAAGTTTAAAAACCACTGTGAAATTAGCATGCCTTATTTAAGATATGGGCAAATCATGTTGTAGGGAAAAAAGAATTCAGAGTTGGAATTTTGGAACTTCCACAGTCTGGAACAAGACTCCAGTTTAGGTATTTAACTTAGTTCCATCTCACTGGTGGGATTATAGATGACTTTTCTTTTTTATGCTTTTCTACATTCAACAAATATTACATTAATAGTTAGGAAAAGATTTTTAACTACTCTGTTTTTAATAAAGCATTGAGAAAACTGAAAGTATTAGGCATGGAAAGTGTTTAAACTTGTGAGTAATTAAAAAGTACAAATTAAAACAATGACATTATACCATGAAACTAGCTAAATTAAAACTAAATCCCAATTTTGGCAAGGCTGCTTAGAAAACTTTCAGACGTTGCTTTTAACAGTTTAAGTTGATAGAATACTTTTAGAGAAGAATTTGCTATGAATAAAAAATATTCTAAACATTTGATAAATTATGACAGAAATTTATCCTATAGGAAAAATTCAAAAATAAAGAAAATAAGCAGAAATCTTTTATTACTTTTAAGAGCAAAAAAATGTGGAATAAAACAAAATATAAAATACCAAATTGGCCCATTGTGATATGTAATTTCATAGACTATTAAGTAGCCATTGAAATAATATGAAAATTATTTATCATAACAACAAATTGGAAAAACAAAAGGAAAATATACATATGAGGTGATTATAATATATGCAAATATGCATACTTGTGGCTAAAATTACAAGGGAACGTAAAGAAATTAAAATAATGTTGTCTGAATCATGATTATGGATAAAATTTTCCAAAAGACTTTAACATTTTATTTCATGAAGGAAATTTCTTTTAATAAAGTGCTCTAACATACAGTGTTCTCTTCAGCAATGTGAAGTTATTCAAAACATAGCAAATGATGTGGGAAAGGCACAGGGCAATCACCTCTTTCTTTGCATCCCAGAGCAGCTCGGTTAGCTTCTTATAACCTGTTAGCATCTGTATTCTGAGGAAGACGTAGGAGTAAATGTTCATGATTGAAATTAGACAGTGGTTTGTTAGATATGGCACCGAGAGCACAAATGGCAAAAGAAACGATAGATAAACTGAGATTCATCAAAATTAAAAACTGTTGTGCTACAAATGATATCAAGAATGTGAAGAGACAGTCTATACAAAGGGAAAACATATTTGCAAGCTATCTGGCTGACAAGGACAATTATTCTTACATATAAGAATATGTAAAGAATTACTGCCACTCGACAAACAAAAAGGCAACGGAATTAAAAAATGGGCAAAGGACTTGAATGACCAGTTCTCCAAAGAAGATACACAAATAGCCAATTAGCATATGAAAAGATGCTCAACATCATTAGTCATGAGAGAAATGTGAATCAATGCCACAAAGAGCTATCACTTTATACCCACCTAGAATGGCTATAATCAAACTACGGACAGCAGCAGGTATCAGTAAAGATGTAGGGAAATCAGAAACCGCATACATCGTTGGCAGAAATGTAAAATGGTGCAGCTCTGAGGATGAGTTCGGCAGCTCCTCAAAAAGTTAAACGTGAAGTGACCATGAAACCCAAGAGATTCCACTCCTACGTATATACTCAAGAGAACTGAAAACATATACATATTCACATAAAGACATGTACAGAAATAGTCATAGCCACATTATGTATAACAGCCAAAATGTGGAAACAACCCAAATGCCCATCAACTGATGAATGGACAAAGTGTGGCTTATTCATGCAATGGAATATTATTCGGCCATGAAAAACAATGGAGTGCTGATGCACACACCCCATGAATGAACAGTGGAAAATACTGTGCTAAGTGAAAGAAGCCAGACACAAAAAAAACACATACTGTGTGAATCCCATTTATAGGAAGTCTCCAGAATAGGCAAACCCACAAAAAGAAAGCAGATTAGTGGTTCCCGGAGGATGGGGGTAGGGGGGAATGGGGAGTGACTACTTCTTGAGTTAAAGATCTCTTTTTGAAGTGATAAAAACTGCGACGAGATAGTGGCGATGGTTGCACAACATTGTGAATGTACTAAAGAAACACTGAATCGCGTGCTTTAAAATAGTTAAAATGGTGAATTTTATGTTATGTCAATTTTACCTCAAAATTTTGTTACTTTTTTGCTGAACACTGCAAGTTTTTAAAATTTACTTATAAAGAATTGTTCAGTCTCAAAACCAGAGAATTTTAATCTTTGAGTTTTGAATTGGGAAATTACTGCGTTTCTTCTCACCATGTCCCCTCTAGCAGCTTTAAATCTGTTTGCTCACAGTTAGGAAAGCAAAGACTTCCTCCTGCTGCTGGCGGCCACGGCTCAGACAGTAGGATTCTTTCACCCAGAATTTTGAAACTAAGGGGCATGACACAAAGATTCTGGGGAGTTTGGGCACTTGAGTGGCTCAGTTGGCTGAGCATGTGACTTCGGCTTAGGTCGTGATCTTGCGGTTTGTGAGTTCGAGCCCCACATCCAGCTCGCTGCTGTCAGCTCAGAGCCCACTTTGGATCCTGTGTCCTACTCTCTCTACCCCTCCTCCCCTGCACGCACTCTCTCTCAAAAATAAACATTTAAAAACAACCACAACAAAGATTCAGGGTCGGTTTGTAAATTATTACCCAAAGCTGTGGCAGCATTGCAAGTTCGCAGGGGCAGCCAGCCGTGCTGACAGGGAGTCCTGTGCCCTAACCTGGATTTAGGCCCAGCTGTCCAGTTTCAAGCATTCTATCCAGAGGTGAGCACAATCACCCACCCAGGGATTTCTTTGTATGTCAAGAGAGATGACACGACACACTGACCGGTGAGTATAAACAAAATTACATAGTATTCACAGCAAGCTGGTATTCCCAGGAAGGGAAAGCTGGGGGCAGGGATGCAGCCTGGGGCTTTGATGGTGGGAAGGGGGTGCAGCTGGGGTGGGGCTATGCCCTGGGCCATAGGTTGAGGCTGTACTAACTGAGATTCCCAGCTACCAGCAGAAACACGGAACATCCACACGTCTTCTTAACGTGGTTGCCCACATGTAGGGAAGAAGGGTGGGGATCTAAAAGCTGGTAGTGGTCAAACCTCAAAAATGGAGTCATCTCCATTACATGCCCCTTTGTCATCCTGGTTCTCAGTTCATAGAGCTGAATCTGTAAGATCTTGGAGAATCTTCCAATGGATTTCTTTTCCTATGAAGGCTCAACTGAACTTGATTTCTGTTGCTTACAGTCAAAGATCTTGACTGATACCAGTAGAGTCAGCAATTTTGAAAAACTATCACATGCCGCTTCAGATTAAACAGTCCAACAAACATAAAACTTTAAGTGCAGAAAAACTGCGGAAAAAAATGATTTCCACAAATGCATGTGCTTTCTGCAACAGCAACTGTAGCCAGGTCTCATGGGTCCCCATGTTGGAAGCTATCTTAAGAGGTCATTTAGTTCAGCCTTGGGCACAAAGTTCATTCAGATGCATAGAATTCTAGAGCTTAAGGAGACCCAAGAGACAGACTATTAAAACAACACAAGGAAACCTTTCATTTAATGATGAGGAAACCGTCACCAAGAACGAAGCGTTTTCCCAGTCGTACCAAGAGTTAATGAAGCATCAGACAGCAGGCATTCAAACTAAAGTCGAGGGACCCTTTTAACATAGCTGGCAGCTTTTAGGAACTCAATTCAAGAGGCTTTCTCATGCCGTGATGCTGGGCAAAACAGTCTTCCTTCACAACCTACATGGGCCTTTGTGGGGCCCCTTTATGTAGGCTGATGTACTGATGAAGTCAAGGTCGTAGGCTGGAGTCAGGTGTGAGCAGCCAGTATGGCTCACATTCCACGGCACGGTGTCCAGCTGTTGGCTGGGCATGCTGTGAAAATGAGACATTGTTGGGGACACCTGGGTAGCGTGTGTGAATGACTCAGTGAGGTTCATGACAAGAGCATAGGGCAGAAGCATATTCCCAGGAGGCCCGAGATGAAGACATGGGATCAGCTTTACAGATAAAGGATAGAATATTAAACAGTGAAAAATTCCATTGCTAAATATAACAGCCTTGCCCGTTTAGGAAACCTTCACTGTCTCTGGGTAAATGCTAGGGATTCTTTTCCTTGAGGAATAGAAATATTCTATTCCTCCTCTGCTTCCCACTCCAGGCCATGCCTGCCCTTTAAAAGGGATAAGTTTGGAAAGAACCATATGAATGCATATCACTGACTAGGTAAGTTCAGAACAATGAAAGATGTCACTCTGGGCTGAACTAATTAAGGATTACGTGGAGAAAGAACAGGTTCTTGACGAAGGAGGAGGATTTTTGTGGAGTGGAGTGTGGGAGGCATCCCAGTATTAGAGGAGCCATTTATAAGCCAAGGCACGGGGCAAAGGGTGTGTGAGGCACCCTACAGAGAACCTACTGAAGAGGAAGGCGCATTGAGGAGAGAAGGAGGAGAGGGATTTGGAAGAAAAACAAAAGCAGGCTAAGGCCATACTGTAGGGAACTGTGGTGACAGATAAGCAGCGTGGTCTTCACTCTGTAGGCAATGGGAACTATCTGCAGACTTTTGAGCAGGGGAGGAGTGACGAGCACAGCCATATTTAAGGAAGAGGAATCTGATGGTGTGCTGGCCGCACTGGAAATGGGCAGCAGGGAGGCTAGAAATTGCATTCGTTCAAGCAAAAGTGATGAAAAGTGGCCTAATGTCAAAGGGAGGTCTGCATCCTTGACAGGCATGGACAGAGAAGGAGCGGAAGCGACTTTTTTTTTCCTGTCAAAAAGCAGCTCTGGTGTCCCGACCAAATCCCAGAAGACATGACTTTGCCTCAGACCCAGACACCAAAGGCCACTGCTGTGTTCAGTGAACCCGGCCCTGTACACACAGGTGGCTAAGCAAGCCTGACCCAGGAGCAAACAGGCGACTGTGGACCGCACAGTGCTCTGCAGTGGTGTGGGCTTAGTGAGTCTCTGTGAGGTGGCAGGTTCTGATTAAAAACTAAGTGTGTTCGACAGAAAACTGTGAAGAATCCCACGGGTGCCTTCGTCTACCTTGTCCACTTCGTACTCAACCTGACAGGATCTGACATCCATGAGAACTGAGTCTTCTTTGTAGCAAGAGGATGGGATGGGAGTCTGTGCCCCGAGCCCCACAAATCCTGGCCTTCCAACCCACCAGCTCCCTCCAGATGAGAGGCTGATTGCATCCACTACGGGGCCACCAGGGCTGCGGGACATGTCCTAAAGCCCGGCTTCCCCACCCCACTTCCACCCCACATACACACATCATTGGATGGGGCTGGGATGGAAAGGAGACGATGAAAGAGAGATTCCCATTGTGTTGTAAAATCTGGGTGCCTGGGTGGCTCAGTCAGTTAAGTGTCTGACTTCGGCTCAGGTCATGATCTCATGGATCGTGAGTTGGAGCCCCACATCAGGCTCTGTGCTGACAGCTCAGAGCCTCGAGCCTGCTTTGGGTTTTGTGCGTGTCTCTCTCTGCCCCTCTCCCCTTGTCTCAGTAATAAACATTAAAAAAATTATCATAAAATCTTTTAACTAGACTACATATTGATCTTAAGAATCTGGGTCACCTCCAGTCGACGTTTATTCAGGTCTACTGGTCAGACGATTTTGCCTGAATTGAACAGTCTTCTGAGTCAAACAAGTGGTCTGATGGCCATTTTACAGAACCGACCTAATCATTGGCTTTACTGTCTATGTAGTTCATATTATCAAAATACATAGATACTTTCCCTTCCTAAAAATCTGTAGGAAGACTTTCTCACAGACCCTGGCATCTTTCCACCACATTTTGAATGATAATCTTTTTTTCTTTTCTTTTACTGCCTCCATCCAACACATTTAGGTGTAGCTAGTTTCCCTTGTCGTAGTGCTTTATAATCCCTGATTTGTTTATCCCATAAGCCCAAAAAGGGAAAATAGATATTAGCCTTGACAAAATCGGTAAGGGAAAAAACGTGAGTTAAGGGGATTGCAAAGACACTTTTGATGCAGGCATACATGGCCAGCGTATGCCCCAGGCTAAGAAAACGGAACGAGGAGGTCCTAGGTCATTGGATCCCAGACCCCAGAGTAGAAGCAAAGAAACCAGTTGAGCCAGGAGGAAAGACTAAAGTCTGCTCAGCAAATCCTTGGCACTTGGACAAGTCAGTTCCCTGTTTCTCTCCCCGCTTCCTGGCTGTGGAGGGTCCAGAGGAATCCTGTATCTATTGGGGCAAGTTCTCTTCATCAGTGCTCCCTCCCCTCAGCCCACCGCTGAGAGATTCAAGGGTTTAGGTGGCAAGATCAGTTCTGGCACGTGCGTGGGGCCCGGGGAAATCACTGCCTGCTCAAGTTTGCTGGAATGTTCAAGAGGCTGGTTTCATTTGATTAAAGCTTTATCCTCCAGGAAAGAAGCCATGTCAGCAGGGAGCCTGATTACTAACAGAATTCCAGTGGGATGCACAAGACAAGTGAAGAGTTTGGGCTCTAGAGCTATCAGCACAGCTGCATTTATCCTACAGAGGGAGCTCAGAACCTCTCCAGCCCCAGGCCGCGATCTGGGCACAGTCCTGTGATCCTGGTAAAAAACCAAGTAAGAGCAGACGGTTGAGCTAAATCCTCAGCAATCTTTCCTAGGAGCATGGTCAGGAGACGTACCAGGCACATGTCCGAGAAAGAATTGTTTGATATCAGGTCCAGCCTGTGCATCCTCTGTTCTGCAGGGTCAAGCTGGGTGCCAGGGGGACAGTGCATTTGGACAAGGCTCGCGTGCTGTTCTGCCCCCAACACTGCAGCTCCCGGGGTGTTCCAGGTGTCCTTGAAACCCTCCCAGCCCTTTGCAAGTCAGCTAAGCTTACCCCTAACCAGAAGTTTTCAATTCCAGAGGCTTCATCTCGGCAACGTCCTCCCCAAGATGCCTTTAGACCCCTGGAGGGCTTACAGTCACGGTCTCTGTTGAGTGACATCCTGCCTCTTTACAAGGTTTTGCATCACTTTGTTGAAGACAGGAGACTACTTGTTTTCTTTGGGGGAAAAGAATAAACAAAATTAAAAATTTTCAGCCATGAGAAGCACATGTGAGCAGGTAGGCTTCAAGAAAGAGCGGGGGCTTAGCCAGTTGAGCATCCGACTTCAGCTCAGGTCATGATCTCATGATTTGTGAGTTTGAGCCCTGCATCAGGCTCTCTGCTATCAGCATGGAGCCTGTTTTGGGTCCTCTGTCCCCCCTCCCCCATTCTCTGTCTCTCTCTTAAAAATGCATAAACATTTATTAAGAAAGAAAGAGAGGGAAGGAAGGGAGGGAGGGAGGGAGGAAGGAAAAGAAAGAAAGCTGGATTCACAAGAAGAAAGTCACAGTGCACCCAACATGGCAAGACATATGAAAAATCTATAGTCGGTGCACCTATTCTCTAACCTCATCTCAGGCTCTCTATTGCTGTGCTATGCTCTCTTGGCTCTTTACTGAAACAGAGCTGGAAAATGTCACTTCCTACTGACCGCCCCTCTCCCTTCCTCTCTTCTTTCCTTTGTGTATTCAGTCCTGGTGAGAAGGAGCACATCTCTGCCTAGGCTCTTGGAGCGTCACCGCCTAACTGAGGTCGTGGTCCAGATATTTTTCCAAAGACACAGTTAATTCCTGCTCTCCACAGTGCTTAGTTATGTTCTCTAGAATCACTGTACCCTCTGCATTAGGACATGCTGAGCCACCCCTCCCACAGGAAATGCAGGGTTAAGTTCCTACAAGGTCACATTTTCAACCAGTCAGTACAGAACTTTGTTTTCTGTGTCGTTCTCTTTAAAGGCAACTATTTAAGAAATTTCGTTGACTCATTAATGATTCATGAACTAATGAACCCATGGCCAACAGCACCGTGAGGCGGGCCAACATGAAACATATATAACTTGTTTTCTCCGTGAAGAAGAGCCCAGGTTTCTTGGGCTAGTACAGTACACAAGCGCTATGCTTGGGGGTATTGTAAAGCAAAATCAGCAACAAAAGAAATGAACAAAAAGAATGTGGCACCAAATAGATCTCTAAGAGGACAACTTGGACGGTTTCAGAGCCAAAAGAAAAAGAGAGTCACATTGTTGAGACTCAGCTGGGAACAAGTAATGTCCAGTGACTTCATTTTTTTCACTGCTCTGCAGATGTCTGTGAATGACGGCAAAGGCACCACAAGCATTGATTTTGTAGTTACAAACAAATTTTAGCAAGTAGATGAACGGAAGAACATGGAATGGGCAGATAATTAGGACCAACTGTATGTCCTTTCTAAGAAGCTCAGTGGGGCCAACTGGTAACGTAACAGTTTTTTCATTTTGTCACATGGCATATGACTTCATGTGAAAAATTGGTTCTGCTGTCTGAAGGAGATCTAAACACCAGTGAGTGCCTTAGGAAACCTGATCTGTGGACTCTTTCAAGTGATGATTATTGGTCTGCTCCAGTGACAGGGAACTGGTGAAGCTTTCCAGCCAGGTGGAGTCTTATCGAAAGAGAGCAAGGTGTGCCCACTGTGAACAGAACAGAGGAGAGTCCCAAAGTGCGAATGTCCCTGAGAATGTTACAATAGGTGGGGATGTTCCATGGTATTCTATGGATTTCTATTTGTTGGATAAGATGACCTCAAGGTCATGAGTTCGTTGTCTGAAGGACATTAACCAGTGTTGTATCGAATCTAGGAATTTTATTTTGGAATTCCTTCACGGTGGACCCAAAGAGTCTTACCTTCCCCTTCAGGCAGCCCAGAAAGCATTCTTCGGCCCTTTTAGGGTCTCAGGAATGCCCTTTTGCTTCAATTAAAAGACAAGAACTCCTATAATGAACTTAGCTGTTTGGTTGACAGTGAGCACCAGTTTCTTCTTCTTGTGAAAAGTTTCCCCCCAGGCTCTGGAATCAGCACTGGGCAAAACGCAGTAAACTCACACTGATGATAGGTTTACTGCAAGACATTTGATGTATTTGGAGCTCCACCAAGGTTCCCAGGTATGCGGCCACTAACTGCTTCCACAGCCCCCTCTGTTTGCTTTCAGCCATTAGACATAATTGAAGGACAGAAGGTGGGTGTGGGAGCATGGGTATTATTTTCATCTTAGTTATTTGAACAGCGTTTACAAGCCTCAGTCTTTTGTGATCTGCAGAGCACGATTCTTGGCTGTGGAAATGTGACACCAGGTCATCGTCCATCAGCCGACCACGGGCATGTGCTGCAGTCGTATTTACAGAGGGTGCTTTAGTCACTGAGCTTACACCTTCCTCCACTGTCACCACCATCCTGACAGAAATGAGTTATAGTCGCGTCATTTTGCAGAAGGTAGAGAGGCAACTGCACCTTGCCAAGTTGACAATCAGTGAGAGCAGCGTCCAGTCCAAGGTCAGACACTACGGAGCACTGATTGCAGATGTTAATCAAAGTAGAGCTTTTTTATCTATTTATTTTTTATTTTTTTGAGAAAGAGTGCACAAGTGGGGGAGAAATAGAAAAAGAGGGGTACAGAGGATCTAAAGCAGGTTCTGTGCTGACCGCAGACAGCCCCATGTGGGGCTCAAACTCACCAACAACGAGATCATGACCTGAGCTGAAGTCAGATGCTTACCCAACTGAGCCACCCAGGCGCCCCTCTAAAGTAGAGCTTTTTAATTTAAGAATTATTTGATATGTTTGTTCGTTTGCTAAGAAAAGTTACTGCAAGCTTAGAAATAGAGCAACATTGAGACCGTGTCCTCCCAATGTCAGATTGAAGCATTTCTTAACAGTCACCTAATGATGTAGGGCGAGCACTTTTAAAACTTGGCTTGACACTAGAAATACCTGTGAATCTTCAAAACTACCCTGGCTCCTACTCGCAGGCTTTCTGATTTAATGATACGGGGTGAGGTGGCAAGCCGAATAATGCCCCCCACCCAAAGATGTCCACAACGCAGTCCTCAGAACGTGTGAATAGATTGCCTTACATGGTCTAAGAGATTTTGCAGGTGTGATTAAGTTAAAGCTCTTGAGATGGAGAGAGCAGCAATGATTATCCAGATGGGCTCATTGTAATCACAGTGCCCTTACAAAAGGGAAGCAGGATGATCAGATTGGAGAAGATGCAAGCAGAGGTGAGAGAAGAAGATACTGTTCTTCTTCAGTAGAAGAAGCTGCTGGCTTTGAAGATGGACGAAGAAGCCACAAGTCAAGCAATACAAGCAGCCTCTAGAAGCTGGAACAGGCAAATGGTGGATTCTCCCTAGAGCCTCCAGAAGGACCAGAGCCCTGTAAACCTATTGGAGACTTCCGACCTCCAGAATTATAAAACAATAAAGTTGTGTTGCTTTAAGCCACTGTGTTTGTGGTAATTTTGTACATCAAGAAACTGATGCAGGGCCAACCCTGAGCATCAAGGTTTATGGAATCTCCCCAAGTGATTCTAATGGGCAGAAAAGTTTGGGCACCCACTGACTAATGAAATGTGTCTGTGTTTGGTTTTGCCATTAACTATTTGATTGGAATCAGCCACTACTGCGAGGTTCCATGAGACATAGAAAAGTAGATCCTGGTAGATCTCCTTCACAGACAGTGGAGAAGATGACCTCGGGGTCATGAGTTTATGGTCCCATAGGGCACGAACCAGTTTTATATCTAATCTAGGAATCTTAATTCCTTTTTTCCCCTCAAATGGCTATAAATATCTAGTTCCTCAAAATGCTTTTGGAACCAACTTTACTTTCATGTTTGCTCTCTCAGCTGTTGAATACATTTTTGACACGCTCATTCTATATTTCTATGCGTGTCATGCTTTTAACTCTTTGAAAATATACTTTCACATATTCAATAATAAGTACCTGTGATGAAAAAAAAAAAAAAAAGGACATGAGGATACCAATTTCCCCTCTGGGAAGAGCCTTCAAAGGAAGGTTGAAGAGTCAGCTCACATAAAGCCACTTGTCCCTGAGGCTATGGAGGTTGGAGCTGTGGTGAACCATCTCCTGCAGCCATCTTCTCGGTTCTCAGGAGTGCCACCAGGCTGACCTCCCATCTCCGCTCTGCTGCTTAGGAGTTGTATGATCTTTGAAGAGCTTCTTAAAGTCTCAGTGTCTTCATCAGAAAAATTCTAATTGCATCATAGCTTCATTGAAGCTGCTGAGAGATGGCACACGAAGCAAGTATGCCTGGGGAAGACTCATCCTAAACTTGACCCAGACAGCTGAGCACCGGTGGCTGTAGCACCTCCTTTCCTTACCTCTAGCGGTGCCAGTGACTGTAGAGATGCCACTGACCCTTGGGGGCAGTGTATAGGTAACATTTAATGTCCAAAAGTACAAATGTGCTTCCCAGAGGGTCTAATTTTGGCCACGTAGAAACTTCACTGGCGGAAGAAACTGACCCCATTTGCCCATGTGCTCAGGTTGCGCGCACGGCTTTTTAAACCGATGGCCTACATTTCATACTCAGGAGATGATGCCATTGTTGGCCTGCCTTTCCTTTGACATTTCTGCCATTCAGGTATTTCCCTCTCATTGATAGGCTGGGCCTGGCTTCAAATTACATGCTGACAGTTAAATGGAAATTAATGGCCATTGCATTTCCTCCCATATTTATTTCTCAACATGGCTCCCAGAGTGGGCCCTGGGTACAAATGAAAAGCCTCTGCGACCATAGATAGAGTGAGGAGCAGCAGAGGCTCTGTTAGCTCACAGCTCTCCTTTGCTGGGCTCCAAGTAACAGACAGCACATCCATAATATATACATAGGTTCTCGTCAGCACTGAAGACTCCTGTACCTCACCGTGGAGTCTGTGACACTCCCCTCTGGGCTGCCGAGGTCAAGGTACAGTCACAAAGCCCTGTACCTGGAACTAGAAGGAAGTCAGACCCAGCAGAGTCAGATGATGAAGAATCTGGAGAGATCGATTTCAGGGATTAAATACCTACTCTGTCATTTGACCCAAGGGTGAGTCAAGAGAGAGAGGAATGGTAACCATGCAAGGAATTTTGACCAGATAAAGTACCAGATAGGTAAGGTCTCATTTAGGGTCGCCC